TTTATATAATAATTTTTTATAACTATTGTAGTTTGAATTAAAATCTTAAATTTTTGTTCTTTTAGCTATTGTTAAGGGTTGAGGTCATTTTAGTAAATAAATTTTAATTTTAATTTTCTCAGCAATTAATGAATCATAAAGTGCCAAATTTTTTTTCAATGAATCAGCCTAGTCTGAACTTTGATTTTATAGCTATTTAATCTTAATAAATTGTGGTTAAAAATGCTGTATTAAAGTTTTCAGGTTTTTACTGCTTAAATTTTTAACGATATTTTTTTTTTGACTTAAAGGACGATTGTGGGACATGGAGATAGGATAAATAGCTGAAATTATGTATACACATTATTTACATATTTGACAACAAATCTGCAAAATTTAAAGTAATTTCAAACACTAGTTTTTTATTTATTACAATTTTTGTAATTCTGATTACTTTTTTCGAGAACTGTACATATCGTCAACCTTAAATTATTTTACAAAAATCTTGATACAGACGCGTGAGATAGTCGATACAGTCTATGTTGATCATAGAATATTAAATGAAAATTGGTAAATTATAAACAAAAGTTGATTTGTTACAGAAAGCTTATTTGATTAACGAATGCTGCAAGGTTGATCGAAATCGTAGAATTTTTTGCAGATTATATTCGGCGGCTTCCTTTTTTTCCTACACAGATTAATTTCTTTTCGTAAACATTATTTAAACTTTATATTGCATTCCGAATGTTTACATAAAATTTTTATCATAATCCATCTTGTTTGTTCTTTTAGTTAACGCATTGTACTCCTTGGTATTTTTTAACTGGATCAAATTTTGAAACCACCACATCAACGAAGAGCACGTTCATGAATGGCCCATAATTTTTACTATGATTTACTTTCTGTTGGAGAAGATATTAAGAGAGTTCTAACGTCTCTTCATCATCATATGACATTGTTCGCCACATATTCTTCAGAAAAATTAGTATTTTGTTTTAACGATCGTAAATAAAATGAAGGTCTGTTAATAATGCATCACCGGTTTAACGATTAAAAATTCTCTTGAAAAGAGAATTATTGGTCTGTAAATTAAAAGAAATAAGATCATTCATTGGTAATACGGAATTGCATCATCATAAGGATTTCGACTACATGAAACAGTTTAATTCTAACAGCCTGAATTTATTAAAAACAAAATGGTGTAATCTGACAAACACATTTTACTATGTTTTTTTTTTTTTATACTTTTTGGGATGTTTGACAAACGGATGAAAAAAAAAAATTGATCGACAATTTTTACTATTTTTTTTTTTTATACTTTTTGGGATGTTTGACAAAAACGACGAATCTGATCAAACAAACGGATGAAAAAAAAAATTAACCGACAATTTATGTCATTTTGGATGAAAAGTATCATGTCAAAAAGAAATTGATCGATCATAGACCATTTTGGAAATCACGTTTGGGTGAAATGTGTAAAAAAAAATCTGATAAGAAAACGGCGTTTTTTCTTTTCTTTTTTTATATATAAACAAAGATTTGAAAAACATAAGAATGAGAATTATTAAATTAATAAACCTACCTAATATTAAATCAAATTATACATTAAATTATCCTTTGTTTATTAAACCGAAAATAATGCCTAAAAATTTAAAGCAAACAAAAAATAAACGTACTAAACCGTTTATTATTGGTTTAAATAACGATTCCATGTTGAATATAGAAACCAATATTATCAATTCCAATATTGTTCTCGTTGAACTCAAGCCGAATTTCCCTCCTAATTTGACAACAGACGAACTCATTAAGAATGCAATTAAATCCAACGCATCTAACAACAGTAAGGTTAAAACGCTTCCAAACGCTTTTATCGCGTATAGAATGGCATTACAAAAGTAATATTATAAGAATACCATTAAATTACCTCCAATGGGTCAGTTATCAATAATCGCAAAAAATTCTTGGGATAAAGAACCACAAGATGTAAAAAATTTTTACAATAATCTAGCTAAGGAAGCTAGAATTTTGTATAAGCAAAACACTTTTCAAATAATATATGATAAACGAATGAATGAAGTTGAAAATGATCAAGGAAACGGGCAGGTTGCACCTTTGCATGTGACGGGTGAAATTTTTGCGGCAGATTTGGGTTATGTCAATAGTACCCACCCTAAAGATGTTGAGACTATGATCCATGCGCAAAGCTCATCAAATGGATTTCTTACGATTGAGGATTCTACTGTCGATGATATGGATTCTTGTTTTAATAATGGTTCGACTAGCATTTCTCAAGTTGGAACTTATCCCAATCATAACTTTTTAGAAGATCCTAACGATCATGAGTATAAGCAAATGCTGGTGCAAATTAATATTAATTTATTTTTACACGACTTACGTCAAAATTATTTACTTTAAAATATTTATGAATATTTCATTCAAACAAAAATATCAAACAAATTATTAGGAATAACAAAATTTTATCTGTCACTGCGCCTTTCCCTTTCTAAACCAAAATTTTGTATAAATGTAGCAGTTTGCTTTTGTTTTAGGTAGAGGAATTTGAATATATTCACTTATGACAATTATTAAAGAGTGCCGTGCAAGTCAGCAATAGTTGGTTCCTTTTTACATTTCTTAAAATTATGTTCCATTAACGTTAAATTTTCGGTTAATATAATTTTGTAAATTGATCGACATTCGTCAGTGAATACACATAAATTTTTTTATCACATACGTAATTCTTACACTTTACATTAAAGGATTGATTTAATTTTTAAGATTTGACGCTATGCGATTTAACGTCCAAGTTATTATTGAAAGATAAAGTTTTATTACTTATTTAGCTTAATAATTAGACTCGAAAATAAAATTAACGATTTAAAGTTGAAGGTGTATGTTTGAAGCTGAAGGTTAATAATAAATCTTTAATTGAAGAGATGTATAATTTTAAAAATTTAGACTTGTCGTGTATAAATTTTATACTAGTGGCACGCAAAAGTGAACTCTTGAATGGAATTGTTTTTACATAACATATTGTAGTTGCTAATTTTTTAACAATTTTAAAGCCGTTTACGATTATTTCGATTTATTAGAAGAAGTCATCTTTAGGATTGTTGTTTTTAATGTTAGTTCGATGAGAGACAAATTTGTTCTAAATAGCCAGCTATCCACTAAATTTTATATTCTTTTTACTCGTAATTCGGATGTTGCCTTGTTATACGTGCATAAGTTTCATAAGGCCACTTTAACTTTTCGGGTCATTTTTTGTTTAAAAAGGTTTATGTATAAATTTTCCAGGCGGACTTTTTAAACAATTGAAATTTTTTTATGTTTTTTTTGTATATTGAGCAGTCTTATAAAAAAATATATATACTGTATATATATATCAAACCATGTTAATAATAGACGAAGTTATCAACGAAGCTAACGAAGCTTTTATGTCAAACATTTCTTAATTTTTAGCTTAACTGGTTCAAACTTCTTCAAATTTACTTAAAATTTGGTAATACTAATAATTTTCATTGAAGTAACACAGAAAAAGTTACTCTTTCACTAATCCATCAATACTGTTAAAATATAAATCCCCAAAAAATCGTGTACTACATGTTGATATACGTAATCTCAATTTTTCCTATTTTATAATTAAAAAGCAAACCGAAAAAGTTTTTTTATAATTTGAGGCTTTCACCTAAAATTTCGTCATTATATAGAATTTTGTTCGAAACTTGTCTAAGTTGATAAGTAAAATGGGCGGTAATGAAATTTTAATTTTTTATATAATTTTTATCCACGCAAAACGGAGAAAATGAAGCTAAACAATTTCACTTTCTTTAGTTAAAGCTGCAAATTTTATTAAATTGAAATCGCAGATATCGAAATCCGTCAAAAACAAAATTCATTCTCGACTTTTGCCAAAATGGAATTAGGGTTTCCTTACATATGAATATTTGAATTCAAGTTCGGTAATTAATTTTGGAGGATGGAATTTTAATGGGAAATTTCTTACAAATCAAAACTTTTAATACTAATTGCATAAAATGTTTAAGAAAATTCTTAAAAGTTTAATTATTTACATCACTTTATTTAATGTATAAATAAACCTAATTTTTAATACATCATATATGGAGAGTGCTGGGAAAAGGGACCAAAAATTTATTCCTTGTAATACAGTAGTGGCGGAAAATAATGATAATGTCATGTGACTTGATCAACATTGCTTACTGAAAATATGAATGAGAACTTTATCGGGATATTTTCTTTTTACTAGTGCTACAAGGATCCTTGGAAGAAGGTGGACATTCCAACAGGATAACGATCCCAAGCACAAGGCAAAATTAATAACAATTCTTTTTCAAGAAAAATGTCCGCGAGTGCTTGATTGGCCGTCCTATTCTCCAGATATCAATCCCATAGAGAACTTATGGGCTATAATGAAAAAAAGGGTAGAAAAAAGGGTAAATCAACGTATAGCACAAAAAAAATCAGTTGGATTAAATGATTTTTTGTCAATTATTCGATCTGAATGGGAAAATCTTGATTTAGACCTCCTATCGAATTTATGTGCGGGTATGAAAAAGCGTTTGGAAGACGTTATTGAAAAGAAGGGTCATATAATTAACCATTAAAGTTTTATTTTTATTTACTTGTGGTATTATATTATGTGTTATTTAAATTTTTTATAAATAATTAAAATTGATTGAAAAAAACATATAGCTTAAATTTTATCATTATTTTCCGCCACTACTGTACTTTTGTTACCCAATAAAGGTAGGTTTATTATGATCCACCACGGAAAACACAAATCCTTGCATTTCATAAATTATAAAGGCATTGGTCGTTTCCTTTGAGTGGCGTTTTATCTCAAAATATCTGAAATGTCGATTTGTTCCTTTTTCTCGCCAATCCCCATCAAAACACTACCGTCATTTAAAAAAATAAATTTCACTAATTTTGTGTTAAAAGTTCATTTATTTGTTGGAATTTTCCCATAAATTATCATCATATATATAAGTTGCTATTAATCCAGATTTAACGCAAAATAAGTTTTAATCTCACTGGAGAGTCAAAATCACATAATTTACTTTTTTAGTCGGTGTTTTTTTCCATATAACTGTATTTTAGTATAAATCAGAATTTCATAAATAATTTGGTATTTACCCGTGAATATTCCATTGTTATCATCAGGTAACTGAAGTATCGTGGCTCACAAAAAAAAAGCTTCACCGGGCAAAAAAATTTAAATTATAAATATCTAATTATTGTACGACAATAAAATTGATCGTTAATTGATCTTCGCTTTTGTATGCAATTAATAAAAAAACATATTTATGTAAATGTAATAAATAAATATAATTATATTTTAAGTGATGCATTTCTTTTACGCGTTTAGTGGATGAAATGTCAATATATCCTGGAGTGATTAGGATTTTAAGGCCTTTCGACAAAATTATAACTTATGGTTAATGGAGTGTGGGTTAGGTTCAGTTGAAATGTGGATAACCAAGCAACAGCTTTTCATAGTATTAGGACGTGAGTTTGAATCATCGGTTAGATCGGTTGACATGCTTCTAGAATACCGAATGGTCCCATGTTTCGTTTAAACTTCCTATTCAGAGTAGGGAGTGAATGCTTCCTAATGCGCGTTGTGGAAAGCGTCCTTTGGAAGAACCAACAATTCTGACTTGGTGCGTTTAAAATCCACATGGGCAGTTGAATATTCAACGCAGTATTATATTTGTAAAACAGCGGACAAATCTTGCCCAAACATTGATAAACAATATATCTAACATGCTTATGACGCTTCGAGTATTCATATTATAGTCAAAAGAAACAACCAGAATATTTTGAGACAAGACACCGAGTATACAGTATATATATAAAAAAAAAAAAAAACAAAAAAAAATTTTTTTTTTATGTCAGATCAAGCGATTTTATATGAAAAAAGTTATATGTATTATTGTAAAATCAAATATACTGTACAAATGTATAGTAAATCTGTGTAATCTAAGTATTCAAAAATTATTTTTATATAAAGCAAAAGTATTCTTCGTGGATTCCCCCCATCAAGAAAAAAAATAAGATAAATTTTTTTATAAATTACAAAATTCAATAATATTATATCATATATTATTTTTTTTTTTAAAAAATGCCTAAAACTAAAAAGCCAACTCGCATTATTAAGTCAAATATTAATTCCAAGTTAAATATTGGCGACGACAGCTTTAATAATATTCTCAAACCGACGTTCCCTTCCACTTTATCAATAAATGAAATTATGAGTGTTATTAAAGCACCTAACAATATTAAAAAGGCAAAAACATTTCCGAATGCTTTCATCACGTATAAAAAGGCATTAATTAAAGAGAATCGTAACAGAAACATCAAATTACCTCCTATGGGTCAACTTTCAAAAATTGCATCATATTATTGGAATGAGGAACCAGAAAACGTAAAGGAATTTTACAGAAAGCTATCCGAGAAAGCTAAATCTTTTTATAAACAAAATGTGATTCAAATCGTATTTGATAAAAATATGATTGAAGTTGAAGAGGCTTCACGTGTTACAAGTGTAATTAATAAAGCTGACTCGAATTATGTCAATAATATCCAAGGCATTGACGTTGAAAATATAATCTATACGCAAAATTCAACAAGTGTGTGTCTTCCGATTGAAGATAATTCTGCCAGCGGTATGAGTTTTTTCCCCGACAACAATTATATCAATAGTTCCCAAGCTAGTTTTCCCAATAGTAACTTTTTCGAAGACCGGTATTTAATGAATCAAGTTCCTAACGATCAAGAGTATATTAAAACGTTGGAATGCGAAAGCATTCAGTTTTCTCCTGATTCAGATTATTTCAATATCCAAGGCATTCCCGGTGAGGATATAATCTTTACGCCGAATTCGTATCTTCCCATAGATTATTCCGCTTGTAACCTTTTCGATCGAGAGTATGGAATGGAACATAATTTTACCGATTTAGTATTGGTTGAAAATAATCAAGAAAGTGTTTCAACTTATGGCACATACTCGGAATAAAACTGTGGGAATTCTTCCCAATGAATTGATAAAATATTTAAAATGCAGCTCGAAGTCACCCATAGAACTTATTTTTAATGATAAATAATGTTATATAACTAAAATACATATTGACAAATTAAATGTACACTTTTTTTTTTTAGAAAACATCGCAAAATGATATACAGTAATAAATAATGGGTGTTTTTTACTTATTTATCATTTCTTAATGACTCATTTTCACTTTTTCTACCAATAAATCACGTTCTTTAATTTTCTTTTTAAAGTCTATTTATTTCATATAATTATATTTAAGGAAAAATGAAAATAAACGCATTGACATTATTTATCTTATATGTTTTCAAATTTAATAAATTCTATTAATTACTAAAGTAATTTAACATTTAGATTAAATCTTAAAAAATATTATATCTTTTGATATATTAATAATTACATTCTTTTTTTTTATAAAAAAAATAAAAATAAATAAAATAAACGCATTGGATTTATAAAATTGAATTTGGTTGATAATTATGATTTTTTTGGATGTAATATTAAATAATTATAATATAAACTATATACCTTCGAGAAGAATTTTTATTAGTATAGTACATCCAAAACTTATAGTATAAGCATAAATATTATAATTAAAATTAAAAATTAATATCATCATGATATATTTAAGAATATTGGATAAGAAAAATATAAGTATATATTTTCAAATAAGATAACCATTTTCTAAAAAAAAATATATATGAACTTTATATTCTTTTTTATAATAAAATTTCTTATTTCAATATTTTTCAATATTTAAATTATTAATATTAAATTAAATAATTAAATAAAAATTATTATACAGCGTTATTACTACAAATATCGTAGGGTGAAATTTTTTCTTGTAAGTGACGGGGACGTCGTTCTGCGATCTAATTTTTTTAACGATGGAAATTTTATTAAAACGGTGTGCTTAATTTCAAAAGCATACGCTATCGAATTTATATTTGTTTTAATTAAATAATAAAGATAAAGTAAAATTTTTTTTTTTTTAAGAAATATTATTATATATAGTTAAAAAAAAAAAAAAAAAAAAAAAGAATATTTAAAAGAATAAAACATTTGTAAAAGGGCTTATAGGCAATAAAGTTTTATGTGGTAAACTAACAATAAACAAAAGAATTATTACAATACAAACGTTTTGAATGTATCGCAGAAAATAACATTGATTTTATCTTATGTTCAATTGAGTATATTTTATCGGTGATTTCGATCATTAATTGTTGATTATAAGTGAACGGATCCTAATAACATTAAAACTGATATTTTTTCTATTAAATTTTCGTGCTAAATCCTCCGTATTTTATCATATTAAAAAGTTAAAGGAATACCTAAACATTAACGCGTTAAATAGTTAATTTAAATATCAAAGAAAATCATTCTAGATTGATTAATTACTCCCATGGGAAAATTATCCAGAATCAAAAATTTTTGGAAAAAAATCTCAAATGTACAAGATTTTTATTATAAATGTCAGTAGATGTTGATGAATTACCATTAAAAATCATGGATAGATATATGATGGTAATGTTACAATCGAGAATTCTACTCTACTGTTATTGTTTGTTATTGATTTTTTTATATTCTGCTAAACTATAATTCAATACGATGATGATGTTAATTAGTCTATTTTTTTTAAAAAAATAAATAAATGAACTAAAATCATCGAATTATTTACTTCGTTTATTATTAAAACGAGTTACGAGACATAGTTCCTGCCGATACACACAAACTTATGCAACGTTTATGTATTAATAGTTTGCTCTTTTTATAATAATGGGCATTACTGATATATATAAGTTTGATCATGTAAAATTTTCTCCGTTCAAAATATACTATTTGTTGTTTGCGTGTAAATAGTGATGAAATGGTCATATGTAATGTTCATGTACCTCTGGCTCATAATATTTTCTTATAATTGGTCGAAATCACAAGAATACTTCCAAATAAGGCTAGAAGGCTTTAACATAAATACCACAAGAATGTCACTCAAATGAGGCTAGAATGCAACCTATCTATCACATTATAAATTGCTATAACAAATATGGCAATCTCTAAATATTCCAAGTCGTGAAACTCAAAGCTGAAACTCAGCCCAAAAACAGTCTATAGAAATTTCCATACCCATTTTGTAATACATGCAGTATAAATGAATGAGTAAATATGGGTTAATTTGAATTGTTTGATTGTAGACAATGTTGTCAGTATAAGAAATGTCGTATTCCGTATCATCTATTAGAAAAAAAATGATACTAAAACTATGAAATGTGACTAGTGCTTTTTGCAAAAAGAAAAACAAAATAATGCTCATATAATACAAGATACTAACCAAACTTGGGGTTATTGCCAAGAATGTAGGGCGGTTGTTCATGTTGTGGTTCTCTAAATCATATTATTATTTTTATATTATCTAGGAGCATAACTTTCTTTTGTATTCAAATCGAAGTAGGTTAGCTACCTAGGTTGTCTTGACTCTCTTCCAGTAGATTGTGGTCGAATATCGAACGACGCCCGGGTACCTTTAGTCCTGTCCCTGTGGGCATGTAAAGTGAATATCTTACTCGGTATGAAACCATTCGGCAAGTGACAAGCGAGATCACACAGGTTGAAGAATATCAACGGCTTAGCGTTAGTCGTCAGTAATGGTGCGCAATATAGGACCTTTGGCTGCACTACATAATTTTTTTTTAAAAAAATATTTTTTTTGCGTCTTTAAGATATTATTCTTAATCAAGTCTACATAACTTCCAACCTTTGATTATGATGCAAAAAAATAATTCCTTTGAATTATTACAAATATGTAGAAATTCTTTGCAGAATACAGTCATTTTTTTTTTTTTTTTGACTTTTTTGTTTTTTTTTTCAGTCAACAGACACGCGAAGAATCGGTAACTTATGAATATATGGATTTCCACATTCCGGATTTAATTACTATAATTACAAATTCTTCATAATCATGTAAAAACCTTCGAGATAAATGAAAATAAAACTATACTAACTACGTAAATCTAATCCAATTCTGCGGCTAGTTATTACAGTAACTGAATAACTTTTCAAAAGAAAATGTCACGAAATATATTTTACAGAAAAAAATTGTGTTGCACCAAAAGATATGGCCAATCAAATCATTGATTTATGTCCAAATTCTCTATAAGGTAAATATTTAAAAATTTTGCATTGAAGATTCTAATATACAGTAAACGTGTGGTTTCTTCTCCAGATAGTGATTATAATAGCATGCATCCATTCTAGTCCTTACCTATTTATAACCTTTTTCGATCCGTATAGATCCAAAGTTACTAGAAGTATAGTGTCACACAAATTTTTTATCTGTGCATAGCTAACTTTGAAAATTTATATTTATATCTATTTATAATAAGGTGACTTTAATATTCACACAAGTATTTACCAAGTTATGTAATTTAACTTTGTATTTATCATATTTTATCATTTGTTTTAATATAACGATATACTGAATTATTAATAAAGGTGTATAGTAATAAATCAAAACGTAAAGTCTTTTCAAATTGTCTCAGTTAATAAAATTTAATTCATTAAATATTATCGTAAAAAGTTTATCTTTTGAAAGAAAAAAAAATTGCATTTTGAAAAGGATGTTATGAATTTATTTGTTTTACAAATAAAAAGTAGTAAATTTTATTTTGAAATAAAGACGAAATTTGCAAAACAATAACAAAAACAAGTTATCCAGAGATGCACTATATTTATAAGTTATTGTGCTTTGCGTTGATTTTAGCCACTACGTGGCTAAATCTAACCGATCATCATTACATTTGGACAATAATTTTGATTTTTATCAACGCAAAGCACAATAACGATATTATCGTGTGATTTTATGATTTTGACTTAAAATTATGAAGAAAATTGCATTATCATTCTCTTTCTCGTCATTTATATTAAATTCTTAAAAAAAAAAAA